GCAGGCCCAGCATCATGAGGACTGCTGTGCGGGGTTACAAGGAAAAACACTCCCACTTACTTCCAAAGGTGCAAACATGTGGAAAACAGGTTTAAAGTGGGCGCTGGGGCCCTCCGCTACAAGGAGGAGAGCTACCACATCAAATCCACACGTGGGCTCTTGGGAGGGAGCAAGGAGAGAAACCTCCCCTCCTTTGCCTCAAAACCAGAGGTGGCTTCAAAGGCAGGATCATCGTCAGCGGAGGAAGCAGGGGCCGATGCCTCCTTGGTGCTCRGGCTGGTGGCTGCTCACACAGTGTCTCGCGTGGCGGTTTAGAGGAGGTCGGCAGGACACGGGCATCAGGAGAGGGGTGCAAGTGTGAGACCAGGTGTGAAACCCAGCGTCGGTGGCGCTGCTCTTACAGGACACGGGCTGCAGCTTCTCCGAATGGGAATTCGAGCTGGAAATGCAGATAGTTTTGTGGATCTCCTGTTAACAGAACAGCATGTGGCTCTACACTCGAGACATCGTACCCAGCACGCCGTCTCTGACTCAGCCTGACAAGGGTTTTAGGCTGGAGACAGGACTCTTGCTCCTTTGGCACTGTCTGCGTGGCAATGCAGCTGGGTCTCAAGGCTACGTGTCTCTCCACGTTTCCTTTTCATTCTTTAGGAAAGCAGCTCTAGAATGTTTACACACTGCAAACCGAATGTACAACTCCGACCGAGGAACCAAAACCGGGTTCAAATGCATGGCAAATTTCTTGGCCATAAAGTCTGGCATGCATCACAGAGGCCCTGTCTGTGTACAGATCCACCTGGCATTTGTCATAATTTCAAATCATGTCTTAAAATATATATAGATGATGATGCCATTTTTTTTTTTTTTTTTTGTTCATATCGGACACGGCTGTCATGAGATTTGTTATTAAAAGGGGATTCTCGACCATGCCATTAAAAGCCTGTCTACCTTTTCATTGGAGTATTCTCCCATTTATTGGGGGTCACCATGGGAAGCAGAAGCAGCACATGAGCAGATGGCGAGGGGGCTCTTACGATGGTGCCTGGTGTTGGTTCCTGTCTGCCTGCTTCCTTCCTGACTRTCTCCTCCAAGACAGGAGGTGCCCCAGGTCTACCAATTCAGAAGAACCCAGAGTGTCTTGCTCCATCCGTACCATATCTACGTAGAGTAYGGGTGAGTCTAGAGCAAGGCAGGGTGGTGGCAGAGGGAAAAAAAGGTGGCATCAAGGACAAGGATGAACCAGCAGGTAAGGACCATCCTTGTCCTCCATGGCACGGTGTGACAGTGCTGCTGCCCAGCCCTGAAGCCAGGTGAGACCTGAGTACAGGGAGATGGCCATGAGGTTGCAATCCCCCCTGGAAGGGCTCACAGGAGGGAGCAGGAAACATTAAGGTGTGAAAAATAGTTCAGGCTTCCAACACTTCAGCTTGGCTCAGAAGCCAGGCCTTTCCCTGGAGCAGGGCTGGAGAGCAAGCAGTGACCTGGGCTGGCATCAGTACAGGGTGAGTCACAGCTGGGGTGACGAGGAGGCTCCAAGCCAGTGGGCATCTCCTGTGAAACCGGGGTTGCTGGSGTTGTCAAGAAGCAGCTGGAACAACCACAGACCCTCATGGGGACTAAGGTGAGAGGCTGATGCTTTCCTGGAAATGGTAAATGGCTACTAGGTGTGGGGACATGTCCAATAAGGCCTTGAGCAACCTCATCAAAATGAGCCCCACTCTGGGGAGAGGTGCATTATGTTTTCCTAGATAATCTCGCGAGCAGGTCTAGGAGGGCTGGACGTGGGTGGCTGCACACCAAGCCACGCTCGTGCCTGCTGCCGTGGGGCTGCGGACAGAGCCCTCGAGCTCTCTCCTCTCCAGGCACTCCCCTTCCTCAAGTCATTGGGGGTGGCCAAGTCAAGTCAAGTCAATGGTGGCCAGCGATAGGACTAGAGGAAACGGCCACAAACTGAAGGATCGGAAGTTCCACAGGAACTTAAAATTTCTTAACAGTGAGTGTGACAGAGCCCTGGCACAGGCTGCCCAGAGAGGTTGCGGAGTGTCCTGATCTGGAGATCTTCCAAACCCGCTTGGTCACAGCCCTGTGCCACGTGCTGTYGGTGACCCTGTGTGTGCAGGGGTTGGACTAGGTGATCTCTGGAGGTCCCTTCCAACCTGAAGCATTCTGTGATTCTGTGATTTGGGGGGCCATTTGTCTCGTCATCTCACCAGTGCTGCTGGGAAGGGCTGCTCTAGCAAGGCAATGGTTCAGCCCAAAGTATTAGTCAGGAAGAAATCTTTGTCCCTCAGTTTTACTGAGACAAGGGCAACCCCCCACTTCCCCTTTGCTCAAGGAAATGAAGATCCAGGAGCTCAAAACACTCCCACRCGAGGCCAGGGAGCAGAGGAGCAGGGCTCCATGGTGTGGGGACCTGGCAGTCGTCCCGTCCTCAACAACAGGGTCCAAACATGGTGGGCAGAGCCAAGTGCTGATAACAGGGTCCACACATTTATATGGCAGTCAGGCATAACCGAAGGGAGGAATTTCAGAATCTGCAGCTTTTGCAGAGGAGGAAAATGCAGCGTAAGCACCAGGATACAACTGGTCTGCCCTCCAGCTGGTCTGCAGTGGCAGCTGGGATGAGCTGTTCATCTTTCAGCTCTACACATAATGTTCCATGTTCCTCCTCTCCATAACTTTGGGGAATCCCAATGTCACTCCCCGGTCTGGAATTCTGCTGGTGTCCCTGATGTCTCTCACATCCCATAGGCACCCTATGGGTGATATGAGGCAGCTGGCATTTCTACTTAGTGATGTTCTTCTAAGTTAAAACTTTTCCATAAAACCACTCTCTGTTACTGGTAAAGGGAAATAGGAGGAAAATAAAGGGGAAGGGAAGGGAAGGGAAGGGAAGGGAAGGGAAGGGAAG